ATATATAGTTATTTTAAATTTTTAGAATATTTAAAATATTTCCTTTTACTGTATTTTTGTTCAAATATAGCTAGCATGAAAAATAGTCCATCTTTTGCAAAAAAAACTCAAACAAAACATCAAATACAGACATGAAAAATAGTGCATCATTTGCAAAAAACAAACAAACAAAAAAAAAACTTGGTAAATTTAATTTGTGATTGAATTATTGCCTTAAACCATAATTGTATGATCAACACATTGATATATATCACCATTTGAGCAGCTCCAATGAAGTGCAACCGAATGACAAGAAGCCTTTCTAACAATGGTGTCTTGAATATTTATTGGTATCTCCAGAGCTCTGCTGTCTATGTGTTGACTGCTCTGCCCCTCACTGCCAAAAGACTGTCAGTCCAGTCTAGTGATTACCTCAGGCCCCTGTTTATGCAGGCATAAAGGGACTTTTCTAAGGCTGAGTGGACACACGTCTTTTTTTCAAAAGCTGGCTTGTCCAGACTTCTCTTGCCAGAAATTGTCATGTGGGATCTGCTTGTTGATGTGTATGAGAACGTGATGGAAGATCCGTAAATGGAAATCTTGGCTTGGAATGGCCCTGCTCTTCTGGTTCCAGGTCACATTTTTATTTTCCTAATGAAAAATCTTGTAAGGCCTGATTTATTATCAGTGAGCAATGAAATGGACTATGTTTGTTAAGATTTGCATGATTCTCCCGATCCTCTTACAGCTCATGTGTGATTTCAACCGGTTTTTGACTTGTTTAACAAGTTTCTTTCTTTCTTTAAATACACAAGATGTCACACAATAGAGGCAATTACTTCTTTTCTGATAAATAGTCACAAGAAGCATTCTGAGAGGTTAACAAGTTGCCTGATGTACAACAGAGCAGATGTTTCCTGACAGCAGTGTTGGAATACAAACAACAGTTAGATAGAGAACGGATGTGTATTAAGCATCATCAGAACTGTATTATTTTCACTTTAAGTGAGATTTATTTGCATATTCAGCAGCAGAAATAAGCATCTGCTTTGAGGTCCATGTCTCCCCGACTGATGTTTATTCAGGAGAATGCTGAGTAGATGGCACACGCAACTTTCCCAATAAAACAGCACCAGCTGCCCTGAGGAAGCCCTTGTAAATAAAGAGCAAACACCTGGAAGAGTCAGGCGAATATTTATAGACCTTAATGAAGAGAAATGGCGGGGTCTCCAGGTGGTTGGTGCAAATTAAATGGGCACCCTGAGTTATATAAACTGACCATTTTAATGCTGAAGTAAACATAAAAAAAACACATTTGAATAAATATGATTATTTATGTAAAGAATATTTTCAAGAAAATATGAATATTCCGAAGTTCTAATTTGGAACTTGGAACACCCTCAGGCCATCCAAGATATAGATGAGTTTGTTTCTTCATCGCAACAGATGTGAAAATGTAGCATTACATCTCTTGCTCAACAATGGATCCTCTGCAGTGAATGGGTGCCGTCAGAATGAGAGTCCAAACAGCTGATAGAAACATCACAATAATCCACATGACTCCAGTCCATCAAGTAACGTCTTGTGAAGCGAAAAACTGCATGTTTGTAGATAACAATTCAGTTATTAAAGCATTTTAACTTTAAACAGTCACTTCTGGCCAATATACAAGTCCATAATGAAGCACTATGAAGCAACATTGTACATCTCAGATGCAACTCATGCAATTATTCTTTTAAATGTTAAGCTTTTGTTTATGGCAAATGGCATGTGATAAATACAGTGCACAGTTCATAATAAACATCCACTTTACACAAGTGAAATACATTATAAAGACAGACATTTACATCTTTTTAAATGGTAAAAGATCTTCTATGTCAGAAAGCAAGCAAGCAACCTTGGTGTTTTCCCTTCGTATTCAGTCTGTTTTGGTTGGAGGGGGAAGAGGTGAGTATAATTGTTGAAATGAGCTGCATTTAATAAAGTGAGAAAGCGAGTTGTTGACACTCACTCATACAAAGTTTCTAGGGGAAATAAAACCAAAAGCACTGCCTCCTATTTATAAATATTTAACAGTTAATAATGCAGCACTTACAGTATATGAAGTGGATAAGACTTTATGGTGTAATTATGAACTAAGCTTACATGCCAAATTCTCTCCAAGGTGTTATTATGTGCTGCATTCTGCACATATTCATGTGTTTTTGTGTGTGTTCTGTCCATCAAAACAAGGCGGCCTCTGACCGACTTAAAATATCTTATTTCTGTCCAAATAGATCATCTCCCAGAGAAAATTCACCAAAGCCTTGCTTAAACAGGGCAACACAGTCGGGAAATCGTCTATTATGGTGAGCACTTTCCCAAATCCCAAATTTATCTGTTTGCTTTCTCTCATGCTATACTTATGCAAACATCCAGCAGTGCACAAGACCAGCAAATGGCCTTATGCAATCATTTAACCTTTAAAAGCTTTGCACTTTATATGATAGAGGTGCTTTGTATGATCAATGCCACTATTGAACCCAGGCAAACATAGAACAACTTCTCAATGTACACAAAACCCTTCCAAAACAGTCAGATGTGGTATTGAATGTGAGCTATGAAACAAAAATTGCAGAAAATAGCCAGAGGAGCTTGTTAATGCACATTGACAGGAACGCAGCAGCAACAGTTGAACATGTAAAGCTCAGTGGATGAGAAGAGCGAGATCTATAAAACAAATGTCAGTCTTCACGGTTAGCTTCTGATTCTGTTTTCTCTTCTGCTAAAAACAATTCATCACTCTCAATCTCTCCAGATCACCGCTGAGGAGCTAACAGGAAATAACGATTATGTCGAACTCTCGTTCAGTGCGAGGAAGCTGGATGATAAGGTAGGAAGACCTCCTGTGCACATGTTTATTCAGAATATAAAATGATCTTATGTACTGTAACAACAACCATCAGTTTTTGTCTGCAATTAGTTTTGGGCCTTATGATGTTTTTTAAGGGGTCAGATTATAAACATTTATCTGAGGTCCAATACCATTCAAAAGTTTGGGGTCAGTAGGATTTTTTAAAAGAAATAAATGCTTTTATTAAGCAAGGATGCATTAAATTGACAGTAAATACATTTATAATATTACAAAAGATTTCTATTTCAAATCGATGCTGTTCTTTTGAACTTCCTATTCATCAAAAGATCCTAAAAAATGCCGGTTTCTACAAAAATTACACCAAACAACTGTTTTTATCATTGATAATAATAAGAATTTTTTTTTGAGCAGCAAATCAGCATATTAGAATGATTTCTGAAGGATTATATGACACTGAAGACTGGAGTAATGATGCTAAAAATTCAGCTTTGCCATCACAAATTTAACATTTTAACATAGAAAACAGTTATTTTACAGTTATTTTCAGTTGTAATATTTCATATTACTTTTTTAATGTATTTTTGATAAAATAAATGTAGCCTTGATTAGCATTAGAGACTTCTTAACATTGACAAATCTTACTGACCCCAACATTTTGAATGGTAGTGTATAATTAGATGTATTTTTTAGCACCAAAAACACTGTTTTATACAATTTTTCACCCTCTTTCTGATCCCTAGGATTAAACAGTCTGTTTTTTTGTGTGGCTGTGCCTTTAAAAAATAAGCATGTGAAATGTGAAAGCAGTTTTCTGTTCTCTTGCATTGGGACCTTGGTTTGCTGTTAAGTGTCAAACATAATTTAACTCTCCCATCCTTCAGTAACAGCCTCATGGCAAAGAGAGAGTGATAGAGAGAGAGTACTATTCCTGTGGGAGACACAATCAACTCTTGTCAGCAGGGTAATTACAGGGGACTAAAATTAATAAGAGGGATTAATACAAGCATAACAAATGATCCACGAGCGTCTCAGTTTCACACAGAGCGTCCCGTACTGCTGCTTGACAGGGCGTCAAAAGGTAGAACAGGAAAGCCTCCTTCAAATCACTTTTCATTTAAGAGTTATTTTCTTTTCCTAAGTTATATAAGGGGTCAGATTATAAACATTTATCTGAGGTCCAATACCATTCAAAAGTTTGGGGTCAGTAGGATTTTTTAAAAGAAATAAATGCTTTTATTAAGCAAGGATGCATTAAATTGACAGTAAATACATTTATAATATTACAAAAGATTTCTATTTCAAATCGATGCTGTTCTTTTGAACTTCCTATTCATCAAAGGATCCTAAAAAATGCCGGTTTCTACAAAAATTACACCAAACAACTGTTTTTATCATTGATAATAATAAGAATTTTTTTTTGAGCAGCAAATCAGCATATTAGAATGATTTCTGAAGGATTATATGACACTGAAGACTGGAGTAATGATGCTAAAAATTCAGCTTTGCCATCACAAATTTAACATTTTAACATAGAAAACAGTTATTTTACAGTTATTTTCAGTTGTAATATTTCATATTACTTTTTTAATGTATTTTTGATAAAATAAATGTAGCCTTGATTAGCATTAGAGACTTCTTAACATTGACAAATCTTACTGACCCCAACATTTTGAATGGTAGTGTATAATTAGATGTATTTTTTAGCACCAAAAACACTGTTTTATACAATTTTTCACCCTCTTTCTGATCCCTAGGATTAAACAGTCTGTTTTTTTGTGTGGCTGTGCCTTTAAAAAATAAGCATGTGAAATGTGAAAGCAGTTTTCTGTTCTCTTGCATTGGGACCTTGGTTTGCTGTTAAGTGTCAAATATAATTGAACTCTCCCATCCTTCAGTAACAGCCTCATGGCAAAGAGAGAGTGATAGAGAGAGAGTACTATTCCTGTGGGAGACACAATCAACTCTTGTCAGCAGCATAATTTAACTCTCCCATCCTTCAGTAACAGCCTCATGGCAAAGAGAGAGTGATAGAGAGAGTACTATTCCTGTGGGAGACACAATCAACTCTTGTCAGCAGGGTAATTACAGGGGACTAAAATTAATAAGAGGGATTAATACAAGCATAACAAATGATCCACGAGCGTCTCAGTTTCACACAGAGCGTCCCGTACTGCTGCTTGACAGGGCGTCAAAAGGTAGAACAGGAAAGCCTCCTTCAAATCACTTTTCATTTAAGAGTTATTTTCTTTTCCTAAGTTATAATCCTTTAGTGAAAATCATATCCTTGGTATCTGAGTAATTAAAACTTTGATCAGAGACCCAGGCTGTCAAGATCTTCTGATAACTTTTGATAAGTTGCTGTTTCATTCTCACGTCTTAAACTTTGGCTGAATTGACTACAAGCCTTTAGGAGAACATTACTGGAGTAGATGACATCCTTGAGCGCTATGCTGTGGGTGGTCTGTTGTGAATCTTCTGTCCATGTGGCTCTTTTTATGTGTTAAAGTTGTTTGGAAAGATCTGAAAGTCCTGAAAATGGTTTCTGGTGATTCAGTGCTGTTTTGATCATTCAGCATACCTGCCGCTGTCCTCCGAGGAAAAGTGTTTTATAAGCATAATTAGCCCACGAAAATCTGCAACTGTGGGAAACTTAAAGAAAGGCATACTAGTTTCTTATTGTCAGTGTTGCTGTTTAATATTTATACAATCTACAGTATTACAAGAGTGATAAAGGGAGATATATATGCATATTTCATGTTATGTAGGCTTACTTCTCAAGTGCTGTGAATAGTTTAAATATGTTAAATTGATAAAAAAAGTGATAGTAAAGACTTATGTCGTTAGTTGAAAAAAGTACTGCAGGCTCTAAAAAAATATTAAGTAGCACAATTTATATTTATATCAATTAATGATATATATTGATTAGGGCTGCACGATAAATCACATGCGATATTTAATGCGCATCTGTGATAGTAAAGACTTATGTCATTAGTTGAAAAAAGTATTGCAGGCTCTAAAAAAATATTAAGTAGCACAATTTATATTTATATCAATTAATGAATATAAATATAAATTTATATTCATAAGTAAATCCATTTATACTCTAAGTATATCCATTCTTAGAGATTTACTACACAGAGTCGTTGTTCACTGACAAGCTGCGCTAAACCATGTTCATATATGATCGTGGTTTAGCGCAGCTTGTCAGTGAACAACGACTCTGTGTAGTAAATCTCTAAGAATGGATATACTTAGAGTATAAATGGATTTACTTATGAATATAAATTTATATTCATAAGTAAATCCATTTATACTCTAAGTATATCCATTCTTAGAGATTTACTACACAGAGTCGTTGTTCACTGACAAGCTGCGCTAAACCATGTTCATATATGATCGTGGTTTAGCGCAGCTTGTCAGTGAACAATGGCTTTGTGTAGTAAATGCTGCTCCATGTGAAAGCACGCACGTGATGGAGATTTACCGCTGATTACTGAACCGGCTTTACTAACAAGATGTGCATTAAATATCGCATGCGATTTATCGTGCAGCCCTAATATTGATGATATTTTATGTAAGGAAAAATTTAATTTATTAGAAAAATCTAATAGCTACATGCTGCTTTTGACCAATCCGTATTCATGAGAGGTGTGTAATAATGTGTTTTAAATAGCAGTTTATATTTAGCAAAGGCAACATTACTGAATCTTTTTGGAGCTCCTTGGTGGTCAAAGAAAAGAAGAGATTTAGACAAAAAGAGTCTCTGTGTCTCTGAAAAATAATAAAATAATTTTAAATAGACTAGGAGCGCATTTGATTGCATTTATCAAGTAATTTTAGTGACTTGATTATCTTGGCCTATATTGTATGGTGCTATTAGTGTAATATCTATCCCCCTCCGTATTTGGTCTTATCAGGTGAGAAGACCCCTAAGCAGACAGATAGGAGCAGAGTGGGATGGGGCAGCCGACAGTGGGAGCAGGAAGCTGCTTGAAAAATAGTTACCAGCAAGGACACAATTAATTTTCAATTTGTTTTAGCTAAAAAACAATGTTTCATGTAATGGCGATGATGCTGGGCTACATGAATGCATATTAGATGCATCATGTATATTATGGAATGTACAAACTCTCCAGAATCACTTTGTTTGAGATGTTCAGCTGATCTCTGTGCTTGTTATTCCCTCAGGATTTTTTTAGCAAGTCAGATCCATTCTTAGAGATCTACAGGGTAAACGATGACAATACTCAGCAACTAGTGCACAGAACAGAGGTAAGACAACCATTTCTTTCTAAGATTTCTCTGTGATAGTGCTTAAGCGACACTGAATTGCTCTCTTCCCCTCTGCATACAGACGGTCATGAATAACCTCAACCCCATGTGGAAGACCTTCAAGACGTCCCTTAACTCACTCTGTAGTGGAGACCATGAAAGAATACTGAAGGTAAAATATGATGTCACTTGCTTTTGCAGATGAAAGTGTATCTGACTTACACTAACAAATAAATACATGGATCAATTTTAATTTAGTTTTACATTTACATTAGCATTTGCAATTCATGTTGCTGGCAGGCGGCAGCTTATAAGAAGCTTAGAAGTACATGCATTGCGCTTGTAATTTGATGTAGGTGCTCTTGGGTAAAAATTGTTTACTTATTACCCGTCAATAATTCTACTAAAATTTGACTGAAAGGCCCTTCAGCACTTTGGGAAAAGATGTTTTATTATTGAATTAATGCAGATGTTAATTTCAATGTTCAGATTTCCAGTGCATTTTGATGCAGTTAGTGTCTGAGTGAGATACTGTTGCATAAGTCTACTTTTGGATAGATAGATAGATAGATTTTTTGCGTACAAGTATTTCTGTCCATGACCAAATAATGGATTTATTTTTATATTATTATTTAAGCTGTTCTCAATCTAGCCTTGACCATTTTACTGGTTTAACTTGGTGAAGTTGCATTTATACGCTGACAGGTGGTCAGTGCTGATTTTCATACTGTTTAGAAATTCAATGAGTGTTGCTGGACCACCATGTGTGTGGAGATCGGATCTGGCAGGAGCTCTGATCAGTCACATGGCCTGGTTACACTGGCTCAGGTCTATTAGGCTTGGTGAGCATGTGTTTCAGGAAGGATTCACTAGGAAGTACCATGTATTCCACTTAAATATGTGCATTTCCTAATTCACCTCCCTCTTTCCTCTTTCTGGCCTTCTCTCATTTAATTTAATGACACAACTGATGGAATGACGTTGAAATGCTGTTTTGTGATGTCTGTAAAGCAGTGTGTTGCACTTTAAACATCTGGCAAGCACACAAAAAGCATCACATCAGAGTTCGTAATCCTGCACCTGCTAGATCTCTAAGTGTCCATTAAGTCATTCTGCACTTCTGTAATTTGGATATTGCATTTCAGGACCACTATGCTGTTTACAAACTGGATAATTGCATTTTTTATTGTAAAAAAAATTCACACAAAATGACCACATCCTCCTTAATAATCGATATCCGCCTCTGGTTAATTGTAACTCTGCTAAAATGCACAGCTACAGCTGGATGACACCTCGTTCTCTTGTGAAGTCCCGAATGCTTTGGGTTTATATCTCAATACTGCAGGCATCGGTACCAGATTTTTTAAAACATCGCTTCCAGGCTTGATATCATTCCTCATTAATATGACTGAAATTGTTGTTTTCTGAGTCTATTGTCTACTGGAACACTTATTTTTGGCCTTCAATGGGAAGCGATTATGCACCATCTCACACATTCTAATGAAGCTATTATATTTTCCAGGACTTCTCGATCGCCCACTCCAACCAGTACTGATGGAAAGCTAATGGTTTGTTTTTATGCTTTTGAAACAATGACAGGTCCAGTGGGAATGCATAAACCCCAAATATAAAGTCAAGAAGAAGAATTACAAGAACTCTGGGATTGTCATTCTGAATCAGTGCAAGGTAATATTTTTTCATCATAAAATGTTTCTCTCTAGAGGACCTTGTCTCCTCCCCGTAGGCCTTGTATTTCAAAAAGAGACAGTGTCATGCTGTCAGCAGAGGCTTTGATGGTTACGGTAGATAGAGGTGGGAACTTCACACAGCTAGAAGTCATTCCATCAGGCTAAAATGTGAGATCCCAGCTCTGCAATGGCCACTGAATTTGATCATACACTCTTAAAAATAAAGGTGCTTCAAACGGTTCTTCGAGTGATGCCATAGAAGAACCATTTTTGGTTCCACAAAGAACCATTCAGTCAAAGGTTCTTTAAAGAACCATCTCTTTCTTACCTTTTTATAATCTGAAGAACCTTCTTTCACCACAAAGAACCTTTTGTGAAACAGAAAGGTTCTTCAGATGTTAAAGGTTCTTTATGGAACCATTTAGACAAAAAGGTTCTTCTATGGCATCGTGAAGCACCTTTATTTTTAAGAGTGTAATTGACATAAATTAGAAGTGATGAGAAGGAGATAGCAACATGAAAGTGCGTATTCGTGATAACCTGCCCTTTTGTATCCACAGATAATTAAGATGCATTCCTTTCTGGACTACATCATGGGTGGTTGCCAAATACAGTTTACAGTAAGTCCAGGCAGATACAACTCATGCTTTCTCATTTTTTAAGTCAATGGAGTTCATTTATCTGTGTTTATATCTATAAAACTAATCATCCATTATCATTTGTTTTCTCTGACATTAGCATAGCCGCCAGTTTTGCTTAATGAATTATGTTATTATTAGTCAGAACACTCATGATTTATTATTCATTACCATGTACATACTAATGGGAACAGGAAAACAAAATTATCATTCTAAATGTTTATTTTTTTGCATAATTTATAAAGTAATAATTGTCTCACCTGCTTACAGCACTGTTCATTTCGCATGACACTTTTGTGTGCACCGTAGTGTTTCATTGCTTTTATTTTCTGTCACAATAAATTCTTCCTGAATTGTTGTTATGTACAGTCTCCTGAAAGGTTTTTAGAATTAGTTTCAATTCAGTTGACCTCGTGTTTGTTTTATGAATTTATATAACATGCCGTTTTAATGAGTGTTGATTTTTCTCTAGAAAGCAAACTGGTAGACCTGCGATTTTTACAAACCTTTTCTGCTTAAACAGAAAATGGTATTGCTAAGGGAGAGGGATCTTACTTTCAGGGATTGCTATAAAATCCATTAGGGTTATTAATGACTAATTTGATTAAAAATGCATACATATGTAGTTAAACTTAGTGAATGAATAAAACATAAGTTTCAGCAAACTTATGGGTTGGTAATAGAAACTATTTCAAGATGTTGGGTATAAACTTCCCCCTAATTTGGAGTGTTACATTGTCCAAAATTTGTATTTTAGTTGTTGTCTTCTTAAAAGGATTTGAGAACCACTACTTACGTTTTGTGATCATGAGAAAAAAAAGTCAGTCATGTATGTCCATACTATTGACTTTTAGTGCATGACTTTATATATTGGGAATATTGTGTTAAGAAGTCTGTCATAACTATACAAGCCAGGTATATTTGATCTAAATACATAGTCCCACGCCTACTTAAACGCATGCATTTTACAGCTCTATACAATCTGTTTACTCTCTGTCAATGCCGGCAGGAGACAGCACTCTGTAGAGATTCTCCACATGGTGTATACATTTTGAGTAATTAGCATCAAAGCACGACTTTGATTGCTGCTTGTCTTTTCAGGTAGCGATTGATTTTACAGCCTCTAATGGGGATCCTAGAAACAGTTGTTCGTTACACTACATCCACCCCTACCAGCCTAACGAGTATCTGAAAGCTTTAGTCGCAGTGGGGGAGATTTGCCAAGACTATGACAGGTGAGCAGGCTGAACAGCCAATCAAATCCCAACTTCAGCTCTCTCGGTACTCGACTTTCTTTCATACACCAGTTGTTTAGGTTCACACATATGCGAGTCAGTTCTCTTTCTCAGAATGTGCAGTGTTTTGACAGTATAGTGAGTAAAGTAGAGTCCCAACATTGGGATTTTATTTTTTATGTAATGTGTAGGCTGTCTAAATAATAAAATCATAAAAATGTGATGTGAATGAAACAAGGGATCAAGGTTTGGCTGGTTAGCATGGTTCTAAAACCTTGTAGATGTGGATGCATCATTCACCATTGATGGCCATTCAAAAGTAGCCATGTATTCTGACCAAAGAACATTTTTTACAAGAAAAAAATATTAATATTTAATTTGATAGTGGATGTTTTACCCACAGTGAAATTATTATAATAATTTTTTTAAACAGAAAACCCTGGAGCACAGAGAGCAATATGCAGGTCATACATTGCTTTATACATGATGTTATGGTGCCTTGGAAGCCGGTTTGAGACTAGTTTGCTTAGGAGGTACCGTAATACAAAAACACCGTCTGTTAAGTCAGTGACTGATTTGCTGCCGTGGCACACAGCTAATATGAAGAAATGTGATGTCCTGAACTTCAGAGACTAAACAGGGAAAATAGTTCTTGTGACATAACCAAGATGCATCACAGAAAACTTAATTTACAGTGCTTTCCACTTCAAACAGTAAATTGAGAGGGGTTAATTGGAATTTATGAATAAATAAATAAAACGTTGTTTTAGTTTGATCCCAATTTACATAGCTGCTCTATTTTGCTGTAAAAACATAAAACAGACTAGGCCTGTTTTAATTAAAGATATGTTAAAGGTGGGAGTTACAATTGGACAGACAGTCTGTTATTTTTAAATCTTATTTTATTAGACCTATGGCCTCTGCATTTCAACATTTGGTGATTCTTTAGAAACCCGAAGCAGTTTTTGGATAACATGCTTAATCCTAGCGTTTTTGACCACTGTAGCTGAGCTGTTATTTCAGCACTCTGAAAAGTCATTCAAAAGCTAATTTCCAGCACCGTGTCGAGCTCCGGCATCACTCCAGAACGAGATGAATGCATATCCATCAGGACGTTTGGTTGGGATGAAATCTGAAATCACAGTGCTTACTGATTTGGCAGGCACTAACAATAACAATTATGCAAATCTGTGTCCATTACAAATGAGCAGTGATGAGGGCCATTGAGACAGGAAAGCATGATGGGAAATTTGGTAAGTAATCCCCAAGATCCTCAATGCATGCCAGCTCTAATCTCCTGTCCATTTTCGTTTCCGTGCAGTGACAAAATGTTCCCAGCATTTGGCTTTGGTGCTCGGATACCTCCGGACTTCAAGGTAACTTCTTTAGCATTTTATAGTGATGGGGGTGCAATGGGAATTTTTCATTAATGGGATGAAGAGTGAAAGATGCTTCTAATTAGGCTACCGATGGAGTGAACTGATATCAGCAGGTTCATTTCCCTCTGACAGATAGTGTGCCTTTGTGCTGAGCTGAGAGTGTTTTGTATTCATCTTAGGCTTAAGCCCTCACTCCAGACTTATTGTTAAAATCTCTTAAAAATCTTAAAACATTAGTATTGAAAATTGTGTGTTTATTTACAATGTGAAGAGAAAGGCCTTGAATCCCCCTGAAGGGGGTATTGACCAGCGATATTGTCCAGCTGAATGTATATTATCCTGCTTATTTCAAGACTACTGACTTCATATAAATAAATAAATTAATGTACATTAAATATTGATTTAAGTTTGATTTATTTATCATGTGAGAAGATAGAGATAGCAAAGTGGTAGCTGAGATATGAAACTAGCACAGCTATATAAGAAATCAGAAATTTAGCAGTCAGTATATAAATATATTTGACTAACTGACCAATTATAATCAACACAGCACGATTGCAAGACTGAACAATAATTCAGTGCACAGGAGTCATTTTAGACACAATATTGCCATTTGATGTCTATTTTTTTTTTCACCAACCGAAATAGTTCCAAGCGAGGTCAACACTTGGATAAACACTTGGGTCTCCAAGCAATGCACTGTGGGAATGAATGAACAAATCATTCTTTTGAACCGGTTCTGTTCAGTAAACAGATTGAACCAGTTCATCCAATCAGACTGAATCGTTTGAAACTGTTCACATCTGGAATCAGCAGTCAGTCGATGAATGAAGTGCTCTCTCAAATGTGTTCAATATTCAGACTAAATGGAGTAATGTGGTCATAAAACCATAATGTCTGTTTTTTTTGCAATGAATCGATTGGATAAACAGTTCTTGCAATGGTTCTGGAGTCAACATTACACTGCACTGATCACAGCAGTTCTTAAGTCAACAGTACCAATCAAAATCGAATGTAAGACTGATGACAATAAACATAATATATACTCTTTATATGGCTTTAATAATGTGTTTGATTGAAGCTGGGATGTCAGAATTATGTGATGACGTAAAAAGAACTGGAGAACCTTTTTTTTAACTGTTTCACTGAAAGTAACAGTCTAAAAGAATCACTTTGCAGAAATGTATTTGGACTTCCCATCACATGGATATTCTCACCCGAATGACTCAGCATTTAAATGAATCGGTTGAGTGAATAATTCAGTGACTTATAAAGGCAGTCATGTGTTTAGCTCCTGAATGAAACTGTGTTTTTGAATTATTTGAGTGATTAATGACTCGCTTATAAAGCTGTGATTTGTCATCACCTACTGGTGTAACCTGCAGAAATGTCACTGAAAAATCCTAACCAGACAGTGAAAAGTCCCTGCTGTTGGACTATATCAAAACACTTGGAAAGCTGCTCAGCCAATCAAATTCAGAGAACTAACAACTGCATAATATATGGTATGAATTATTTTCAAAGAGTATTTTATTGATGCCACAGATAGCCTAAGAAGGTTATGTTTCTTTTTTCTTTCTTTTCCCCTCAGGTTTCACATGACTTTGCAGTAAACTTCAACGAGGACAACCCAGAATGTGCAGGTATGATAGAGCATTTATCCCAATATTTGATCTATTCCAGATCTTAATTGATCTCCTTAATGCAGATGCATTAACTACCCCGTGTAACCTTTGCCCACTGGGACTGAACTACTTAAAGCCTCAACATAACACTGGCAATGTCAAACAGCCCTTCAGTATAGTGTTGTCCCCGCAAATAAAGGAGATCAATATATGCATAGATGAATTACAGAGCTACGCTATTGACAAAGGTGGACACATTAATGTTTAATGCTGCTATAAAATATATGGCCTAAGGGGAATGTCTGAAGGAGGGAGGCCTGGTTGATGTCACACCCTCCCCATCCCCAATAATAAGTCTCTCTTGACCAAGACAGCAGGAAAAGATGACTGTCAGCACAAAAACAGATGTTTTAAGGCTAGGTGAAATCATAGTGGTGCCTTGCATTAGACCAGAACTTCTTGTACAGAGTTTAATTTTGTAGGATACAGGTTTACATATTTTATCGCAATTTGTTACCACTCTGTTTTATATTTAACCGCCCTGTACTGCAAAAGCAAAGTTGTTTTTAGACCATAATCTCTTGGTAGGCTTGCATCATCACAACCTGTTTAAAGTTTGAAACTCGTGTCTCCTAAAAGGGGGGCTGCTATCAGAGAGTAAAGATGAAAATATAAGAACAATGAATACTTGAAATACAGAAACAGATGGGAAAGTAAAGTAATATAAATGATAATTCTGTCATTGTGAGAAAGCCTCTGTCAAGTCATCTATCCATTCAAATGTAACCCAACTCTCTTTGGGATGGTGTTGCCTTGGAAGTCAAGTCAGAAGTTGCAAATGATTGGATTTTGTATATAATTTGCTCTCAGTTTGTGTTTGGTACTTAGCTTTCCCATCATCCCTGTCTTCAGCCATGAGCAGGATAAATTGATCATCGCTCTAGTGTATAGGTGTCACTTGATTTCCCTTGCTATTTCTGTTCCACCTCTATCAGCGCCGACACACCAGGGTGGTGCCCAAATGGGCACAGTCCACTCAGCTTTTGATCAAGCAGCCAGGCCTGTCTCTTCCAGGAATAGCAAGCGGCTCGCAGCCCACCAGGACACATGCCAGCCAATCTACCCCAAGCAGACAGCACACCTTTCCACCCTGGTATAGTCTGGAAAATCCAGCATGACAGTATTGCGGTTCCAACACACCTGGACGAGACACACAGTGCGCCTAAATAGTGTGAACGATATTGGTGTGCAGTTATCAGTAATTTTTACTTTCTAAATATTGACAACCCGTTGTAGACAAATCATGGTGAGGTGTCTAGTGAGCACAGTTGTTTGCTTTCCGTGAAAGAAACCAATTTGCAGTCTTCTCACTCTTCCGAAGTCACTCCTTTTAAAAGTTTTGCTCAACTGCAAAACTCAACCTTTGAGTAGTGGGGTGTAATCATCTTGCTACAATCAAGAAGTCAAGGTTTGATTGGTTAGCACTATCCTGCTGGTGTTGTGACAAACCATTCTGCTGCCATAGTAAATTTTGCCCGTCATGGCCTTTCAAAAGTAGTGAATTCTGGCAAAAACGTTTTCTAAGAAACGTGTGTGTGTGTGTGTGTGTGTATATATATATATATATATATATATATGTATATATATAAATGCATCTCCACTCGCATTGAAAAACTTTGGGTCAGTACATCTTATGCTTATCAAGGCTTCATTTATTTGATCAAAATAGAGCAAAAAACAATAATATTGTGAAATACATTTACAAATTAAAATAATGTTTTCTGTTGTAATATATTTTAAAATGTAATTTATTTCTACGATGGCAAATGATCCCAGTCTTAGTGTCACATGATCCTTCAGAAATAATTCTAATATGCTGACTTGCTGCTCAAGAAACATTTCTTATTCTCATGACAGTTAAAACAGTTGTGCTGCTTAATATTTTGTGGAAACTGTAATACATTTTGTTCAGGAATCTTTGATGAATAAAAAGTTCAAAAGAACAGCATTTATTTGAAAAAGAAATGTTTATTTATATAGAATATATATACAGGTGCATCTCAATAAATTAGAATGTCGTGGAAAAGTTCATTTATTTCAGTAATTCAACTCAAATTGTGAAACTCGTGTATTAAATAAATTCAATGCACACAGACTGAAGTAGTTTAAGTCTTTGGTTCTTTTAATTGTGATGATTTTGGCTCACATTTAACAAAAACCCACCAATTCACTATCTCAACAAATGAGAATATGGTGACATGCCAATCAGCTAATCAACACAAAACACCTGCAAAGGTTTCCTGAGCCTTCAAAATGGCCTCTCAGTTTGGTTCACTAGGCTACACAATAATGGGGAAGACTGCTGATCTGACAGTTGTCCACAAGACAATCATTGACACTCATTTTGTCAATTTTGTTAGTTTTATTTTTTAAATATTTGTTTAGCTTTAAATTTTATTTCAGTTAGACGCGCTTTTTGCAGCTAATTCAAACTAACTGAAAACGTACGTCAAAGTTTTCAGTTAGTTGCAGCTTTTCTCATTTTGATTTAGGTTTTTAAGTCTTAGCTAATATTTACATTTTATTTTATTTCAGCTTTATTTCAATTAGTTAAATTGATTTGTAATAGTTTTAGTTAACAATAACAACACTGATACTGACATTTGATGAAATTAAAACTATTTTAATGTCAAATTAATTTTCCATATCTAATCATTTTGACAGCAAAATATTTGTGCCTCTTATGCTTTATAAAAAGAAAAGTAATTGGACGCTGAAGTCAACAAAAGGTCCAGTGTGGTGGTGATGTCCTTCAGAATGGTTTGAATTATAATTTATGGCCAGAAACAAGGTTGAAATCAGGGGCACAACATATGTTTATCATGTCTATTTAGTTGTAAGTTTCAGAGCCTCATAGATCTTTTTATAACCCACGTTTGAGCTCCCTTTAAAAAGTTAAAATGATACATGCAGCTGAACTGTAGATCATGACCTTTAATCAATGCATGGCTATGCAGTGGTTTTCATTCTGCATCTTTATAATGTCTGAAGTACCTCTAAGGAGAATCTCTCCTGGTTAATTACTCGCTCCTTCCTCCGCGCTCCCCGTCTCACATTTCCCACCCGGACTCGGAGCAATCTAATAACCTTTAGCTTGACTGCTCCATTAATTACCACATCTACTGCTGGTCCCTGGTGGAAAACAAACCACAGAATGCAGAGTGGGTTAACTAGAGTGTGACTGTTAATAGAAGGTTGTGTTTTTAATAAGGAGCCGAGAGGTTGTCTGAGGAAGGTTCTTGATTCTGATTCTGAGGTATTTTTTTTCTGAAAGAAATTAATACTTTTATTAAGCAAAGATTAAATTGATCAAACATGACAGTAAAAACATTTATACTGTTATATAAAAATTATACTTAAAATAAATGCTGTTCTTTTGAACATTCTATTCATCGAAGAATCTGGAAAAAAATTCGCATTTCCTCAAAAATATTAAGCAGCACAACTGTTTTCAACATTGATAAGAAATGTTTCTTGAGCACCAAATCAGCATATTAGATCATGTGGGATCATGTGACACTGAAGACTGGAGTAATGATGCTGAAAATTCAGCTTTACATCACATGAATAAATTACACTTGGAAAATATATGAAAATAGAAAACACTCATTTTAAACTGAAAAAATAATCAGTTTTTATAAACAAGGTCAAGACCTCTAAGATGGAACAGGCTTAAATGCTAATTTTAAGGGGCAGAGACAGATTTTTAATGCATTTAAAACTAGCTATCAGATTAATTTTGTTCGATAAAGTTGATCTAATATATATAACATATGAAAACATGATATTTGAACATTTAAAGGGGTCATATGATGCTATTTTAAAGATCATTATTTTGTGTATTTGGTGTAACAGAATATGTTGACATGCTTTAATGTTCAAAAAACAATTATTTTTCAAATACTGTACATTATTGTCGGTCCTCTATGTCCCGCCTCTCTCAAACACGTCGTTTTCAACAAAACCCCCTCCTTTGACAAGCGCAGTCTGCTCTGATTGGCCAGCTGACCCAGTGCATAGTGATTGGCCGAACACCACAAGCATGCGTCGGATTACCATAATCGCAGCTTCAGCTTTCAAAGTAAATATCAAGACAGTTAATAATGTCGTTAGTTTTACCATCAGTTCAAGCCTGAAAGGGCAACAGAGTCACGTGACAGACACAGTGCGGATGCAGTACACAAGCCGCAGTTAAGACAGCTGACGTGCTATGATTTCTGACAGGCAGTTCACTCTACTGTGACTCTACTCTGACTCTACTGTGATGTGACCCTTTTCCACTCACACACACACACACACACTTTTGCTTTTGCACTGAAACACAGCGTCTCCCTGACATGGCTGCATCAACACTACTGCATTCCTGAAACCACGCAGCCTTTCTTTGCGTGCACATTTGGGTGGCATTATGCTAATATTTCCACATATTGACGTAGACGTGGGGGCGTGTTAGAACGAGGCATTTAGGTAGGCGTGGCTGACTCTTAACTTTTATAAAGAATATCTCTTTGGATTTGAGACTTTAGTCTTTGCAACTTTACAGATCTTCTTTATGCACCAAGAGCTTGTAACACTCCAAAGAGAAAGGAAAAATTGAAATCGCTTCATATGACCCCTTTAACAATTTTTTATTAAGTGTATTTAATTTAGTCAGTGATTTACATACTATTATTTTATTTTATTAATATTTTAAATGAGCTTTTATTTGTATATTTCTTAATTTTATTTTTAGTTTTATAGCTTATTTTTGTATTTTTATTACGTTTTTGTGATTTAAAAAAAAAATTCTATTTGTTTTATTTTTTTATTTCAGCTTTACTCATTGTATTTTTAGTATCTAAACTTATATCAATATTAAACTGTTTATACAAGTCAACATGTAGAACGCATAATGAATAAATCAATACATTTGGCATGGCATGCCTCTAAATGTGACAGAGTGTCCATATCAGCCCAAGTGACGGTTTATTGGATCCTCTTGGGAAATGTGCCAAGACTTGATTCTTTCTAGACAAGTACTTTATTGATAGCCCCTGACAA